GCTTTTCTAAACCCCAGATTCTCCACTTGCTGCTTCCATTCCTGAGTACAATCTGAACAATGAAAGAATTGCATTGATTGTGCTCTCATTGTTGGGTTTATCTCGAGTGGGTGAGATTTCCTGTGTTTCATGGTCTGGGTATCGTGGCTCTCACTAACTGTAGATAGCAGAGATGGAAATTTGAGTTTGATAGCTGTGCCCTGAGCATCCCCCCACGTGGATGGGCTCTGCTCCTGATCCCTCAGCAGTGCTGGGGAGTGTAGAGCAGTTCAGAGTCCCTGCAGGAGCTCAGAGCTGATGCAGCACTGCTGCCTGCACTGAAGGGCCAGTTCCTCTTGGAGAAAAGTTAATGGTTTGAAGTCACTTCTTTGTTGTTTTCTTTTTTAACCTTAAAGATTTAATCCTTAAATCTTTCAGCTTGTATGGAAATTTGTAGCAATGCTCCTCCCTTAAGAGGACAGTTACTTACTGTGTGTGTTCTGTGACCTGTCAGGAAGATCAGTTTGCACCAGTGTGGGGGTGTCACAGCAGTGGTGCCTTAAGGCAGGAGCCTTTTATCTCTGTTAGATCCATGGAAAATATTGGGAAAACTGGATATATGTACACAGGAGAGAGTTGTGCCTGCTTTGGAGGATTTCTTTTTAACCCTTCTCCCCTGAAGTAAAACAAATCCCATGTGGTTTCTCCATGTGCAGGAAATGATGATGTCACTGAAATTAGTGAGGACCAGCTGATATTTCCAGCCTCATCCATGCTTTGCATGACAACTTGTACACTGAGCTTTGCATGCCTGTTTTGTTGCTTGTTAGTAATTTTCAAAAAGTAACAAAACTCTCGAGTTAGGTTTTGTGGAACATTGTGCAACATGTTTGTTTATCCTGTATCTCCCCAGTCTGTTAACTTGCTCCTTTAAATTCAAATGGATACGGTGCTATGCAGATTCTGGCATGTACTACCTAGGTAAAGTTTTTGCTTTGTTTCCACAGTTGTAACCCTGAAATGCTTGTACCTATATAAAACTTTAGTCAAGTAGTAAATTGTAATTTGTTTTTAAGAACCACTTCTTTTACAGTAGTTTAATACTTGAAATTAAGTGAAACTACTTTAGGCCACTGCAGTTACCCATTCATTAGATGACTTGTGGTTTTACTTGGTTTTCTTTTAGAGAATCAACTTTAAAAAAAGAAATTGATGAAGAGAGAGCATCTTTACAGAAATCCATCAATGTCACTAGTGCCTTGATCACACAAAAAGATGAGGAACTGGAAAAACTCAGGCATGAGGTAAATGAGGAATGGATGATTCCTAATTTCAGTTAAGTTGCAGCCAGAGGCTTTGTGTGCTGGCTGATCATTTTTCTTTTATGTGGCATAGTTAAACCTTAGCATCTTCAGCTGCCTGTGCTGAGCCAGGTCACTCCTGGCACGAGGTTTTGTGGCTGTTCAGCCCTTGCTTCAAGGGCCCTGGCCTTGGTGCTGGAAGGTCCAAGTGTTGCCAAACAACTCTTCCAGATCACGGTGCTCCGCGGAGAAAACGCTTCTGCAAAAACCCTGCAGTCAGTGGTGAAGTCACTGGAGTCTGACAAACTGAAACTTGAGGAGAAGGTGAAGAACTTGGAGCAGAAACTCAAGGAAAGCAACGAGCAGCCTTTGACTGCAATGAGCCCCTCAGGTAAAGCGAGAGCCGCCCCAGGGTCTGTGCCCTCAGGGCCTGTGCCGTTATTTCTGACTGAGCCATGGTCACACTGTACCTTCTTTGGTTTGTTCCTTTAAAGGTGATGCTGTTACTCTGCTTCAGGAGGAGATTGCAAGAGAGAAGCAGGTACTGGATGTGCACATGGGCATGCTGAAGCAGCAGTGGGGCTGTAGGAGAGGGGATGATTCCAAAGGCAGTCCTTACCGGGTTTTAACGGGCAGATTTATCTTGTAGCCCCTCAGCTTCTGAAGGGAAATGTCAGTGACAGGAAATTCTAAATCAAGTGATGAGTGATACAGTGAAACAAGGGAATGTGAGGAACAAGCAGGAAAAGAGGATGGCAAGCTGTGCCCTGCAGCCCAGCAGAGCACTCACTGCTCCTTGGCATTCCCAAAGGTTTCTTGGGTGTGCATGAGGAAAAGCTGTGGCCCACCTGAAGCTGGTGCTTGCCATCTTGGAGAAAGGGGCTCTCTGAGCTCTGCAGTTTTTCCTGACTGCAGAGCTGGACTCAGAACAAGGGTTGGCAGCCATGGAGAAGGAAGGTGCTCAGCTGGCACAGGGAGATGGGATTTGGAGTAGGACAGTCACAGTGACCTCAGGGGCCTGTGCCAAGAAATGCCTAGAAAATGTGTTTGGAATAGAATCACCTTCTGCTCATGCGAAAGCCTTTGTTAGATCACAAATGTCAGGCACAGTGATTAAAAATCTCCTTGCAGTTTTGCAGCCACCGGAAGTGTCATGAATATACACTAACCACCAATCTTTTTCTGGTTTTCTGCTTCCCTGGATCCACCTGCTGATGGCAACCCTTCCTTCCCCCAGGGCGAGGTTGGTTCCACTTCTTCCCTTCCCTGTTAATTTCCCAAGTGTTCCTTGGTCACATGGGGGAGGTGCCATCCCCTGCCCCTCTCACTGTCCTTGTCCTTGGCTCTCCTAGATCGACTTCCTGAACTCAGTGATAGTGGATCTGCAAAGGAGAAACGAAGAATTGAACTTGAAGATACAGAGAATGTGTGAAGCAGCCCTCAATGGCAATGAAGAGGAGATAAACAACTATGACAGGTACAAATCCTAAAGGAAGCCTTGGCTCTTGTGTTGGGAATTGTTGGTAGAGCTGCTTGGCAGCTGCACGATGCTCCAGCCTGATCTCAGCTGTCAGGAGGGACAGACAGAGCTTTCCCCGAGTTCAGTGGTTGAATCCAGGGTTCTCTTTACACTGTGGTGTAACTGGGGGTGCAGGTGGTGCTCTGTAGTTATCAGTCCCAAGCACTGATGTGTCACATGTCTGTTGTATGACTTGCTGAATCTGGCCCTTTCCAAGTGCAAAAGAGTCTTTGGTCCCACGAGGCTGTGGCTGTGTTGGGATGGGAAGAACCAATCCAGAGAAACAACACTAAAACCCATTTGATGTTCAAACTTCAGCTCTCTTAAGGGAAAAAAGAAACTCTTTTACCTGTATTTCTTTTAAATGTCTCTGTGCAAATATTTGCACAAACAGCAGCTTGTTCAGTAAATATGAGTGTAGGGGATGGAGGGGGCACTGCAGGGTGGTGGAGAAGGGTTTGTATCCTGTTTTTGGTGGAGCTCTGTGGTATTTCCTGAGTCTCAGTGAGCAGGAGCTCCTGTGTGACTGGTGCTGGTGCTGCTCTTGCAGTGAGGAGGAGAGCCTGTCCAAGAAGAAGCCGCGTCTGTTCTGCGACATCTGCGGCTGCTTCGACCTGCACGACACCGAGGACTGCCCAACGCAGGCGCAGGCGCTGGAGGAGCCGCCGCACTCGGCGCACCACGGCAGCCGGCGGGAGGAGCGGCCCTACTGCGACACCTGCGAGGTGTTCGGCCACTGGACGGCCGACTGCAACGACGACGAGACCTTCTGAGGGGGGACAGCGCCCCCGGCCTCGCACCACCAGCAGCCACCTGTGCTGAATGTCGGGACAAGGGACAGACCCCGCTCCCCGCCCGCCCGCTCCGGAGTCCCTACAGGCATAAAGATTTTGATCTTCCACTAATAAATAGCCCCTGTCCCTTTTTAACAAACGTCAGTGAAAGATGAATAAATGATTTAACAAGTGACTTTATGCTGTTTCTTCCCAGGTTCTGGGTTTGTCCCACCCTTAACAGGAAATGCCCCAGTGCTGTTGGATCTATTGGTGGGAAAACATGTATAGGAATGAAGCACTAGAGTTATATTAAAGCTTATTTAAATACCTTAAAAATATGCTGTTAATTTTCATATTTGCACTAAACCATTTTAAGGCTGAATTTGTACATTTAGATTTTTAAGCTTTTTTTTGACACTGGACTGAGTTTGGAAATATTTCATCTTTATTTTCATTTACTCCTTTGGTTGTGATGTCGCTCGGTGCCGTGAGCTCTGGGTTGTGGTTTGGTGTGAAACGTGGAAGTGACGCAGGTAAGGAGCTGCTGGGGGTTTTGGAAACCTGTATGCTGTGCACACCTGTGCACACCTGGAACAGTTTGTGGGCAATCCCTGTTTTGCATTTTTTCAGCTTCGATATAGTGAGTGTGGTGTGTGTGTATATATGCATATATATAATAAAGTTATATTTTGGAAAAAAAAAGTGTTTTCTGCATTTCCATTCAGGGTGTGAGGGGTTCTGCATGAGGACGGAGGTGCCCAAGGGCTGCGCTGTAAATCACAGAATCCATCAGCTGGGAAGAGACCTCTGAAACCAAATCTGACTCAACACCACCTTGTCAACATGCCCAGGGTACTACTGAGTGCCACATCCAGTCCTTACTTAAATACCTCCAGGGACAGTGACTCCACTGCCTCCCTGGGCAATATTTAATCACGCTTGCAGTTAAGATTTGTCCTGATGTCCAACGTGAACCGCTTCTGGTGCAGCTTGAGGCCATTCCCTGTCCCTGTTCCCTGGAGCAGAGCCCAAACCCCAGGCTGTCCCCTCCTGGCAGGAGTTGTGCAGAGCCAAAGGCCCCTCTGAGCTCCTTTTCTCCAGGCTCAGCCCCCTTCCAGCTCCCCCAGCCTCTCCTGCTGCTCCAGCCCCTTCCCAGCTCCGTTCCCTGCCCTGGACAGGGGGCTGCAGGTGCCCAGCGCAGGGGGGAAGCCGTTCCCTGGTGCGGGCGCTCACAGTCCTTTGCGCAGTACGGTGCCAGTGGCCACACACGGCACACACATGATCACACATGACACACACACGATCACACACGGTCACGCATGACATACACGTCACACACGGTCACACACATGACACACACATGACACGTGACCGTTCCTGGCCCCGCCCCGGGCTCAGTGCGGCTGCGCGGCCCCGCCCCGCGGTCACGCGCGCTGGGGGCGGCAATGGCGGCGCACCTGAGCTCGGGCCGGGTGAACCTGACGGCGCTGCGCGAGGCGGGGCGGCGCGAGCTGCGCGAGTTCCTGGACAAATGCGCGGGCTCCAAGGTGGGCACGGTGGGGCCGGGGGTCCCGCGTGGGTCCCGCGTGTGGCGCGGCCGCGGCCGCTCTGATCCCGCCGTCCCTTCCCGCAGGCCATCGTGTGGGACGAGTACCTGACCGGCCCCTTCGGGCTCATCGCGCAGTACTCGCTGCTCAAGGTAAGCGCCGCGGGGGCCGGGGGCAGGCGGCCGGGCCCCGGCGCTCCCGCACTCGGCTGACGGCCGTGCCTCCGCGCAGGAGCATGAGGTGGAGAAGATGTTCACGCTCAAGCCGGGCCGGCTGCCCCCGGCCGACGTCAAGAACATCATCTTCTTCGTCAGGCCCAAGCTGGAGCTGATGGACATCATCACGGACAACGTGCTCAGGTACCGCGGGCAGGGCAGGGCAGGGCGGCCGTGAGGAGGGGACAGGCGCGGCCCCAATCACCGTGTGCTTTGTTACACCTGTGCAGGGAACGACAGCGATGTGCACACACCAGACCGCAGCACTGCCACTCTGCGGATTAAATGGGGGCGTGACACACCCTGGGCAGGGGGGCTTCACCTTGGCTGGGGTGCAGAGGGTGCGTTCCTCCCTGCGAGGACGTTCATTCTTTCTAATTAGCTGGAATGAGCCATGCTTGGATTGCTGTGGCGTTTTGGGAGCTGCAGGACAGCCACGTCCCCCTGCCCTGCTGTCAGAGCTGTGGCTGCACAGGGCTGAACACTGACAAATCCAGGAGTCAGCAATGACCCAGTGCAGCGTTCCGGTTTTGTGTGACTCCAGTGCCCCCTCCCGTGCTCGGTGCTGCTCCGTGAGCAGCGAGTGATCGAGTGCTCTGCTCCTGCAGGGAAGACAGAGGCCGCTCTCCGCAGAGGGATTTCCACATCCTGTTCGTGCCGCGCCGCAGCCTCCTGTGCGAGCAGTGGCTGAAGGAGCAGGGCGTGCTGGGCTCCTTCATCCACCGCGAGCAGTACAGCCTGGACCTGATCCCCTTCGACGGGGACCTGCTCTCCATGGAGTCCGAGAGCGCCTTCAAGGTGCCCGCTCACCTCCTCCTCGAGGGAAAGCAGAATGTGGTTTGGTGCTGGACGTTGGTGCTGGTGCAGCAGCTCTCAGAGGGTTGTGAGTGACCTGCACAGCAAGGAAAGGCCTTGCAGAGCAAATCTGGCTTGATCCTGAAGCCTCAACTTCCCTGTGTGCTTTCACACTAAATGCTGAAGGAACAGTCACCCCAGTTCCTCCAGGTTCAGCTGCCGGTGTTACTGTCACAAAGGAGCAGTCCTCAGGCTTAAAGCACTCAGTTGTCACAAGGAGCCAGCACAGTTTGTGTTCCTGCACAGCCAGGGAGCCGTGTGCTGGTTCTCACTGCACTGAGCATTAACAGCTGTCACATCCCAGCTGCATTTCCTGCATCCCCAGAGTGTTGCATCCAAGGACAAGACAGTTTGGGAGTTCCTTGGCCCTTTCTGTCCTATATGTATCCCTATATGGCAGGGCTTGCAGCTGTAATGAGGTGTTGGGTGCTCTGATTGGCCTAATTAGCAGGAGAGGGTCCTTCCAGCCACTTTCTTTTACTCCATCAAACTGGATTTGTGTTTGGAGTTCAAAAAATACTGGAGTCTAGTGATCAAAACAATTATTTGATGTAGTGACAGCACAGGTAATAAGGTCCATATATGCCAACAGCCATAGTTTGTCCCCAGCCTGTGTCTCCTCTGAACTGTTCGCATGAACCCTGCTCTGCTGTAGAATCATCTGTATTGGATTGACATCTCCCATCAGAATCTCTCTTGTTCTTTAGGAATGTTACCTGGAGAGTGACCAGACCAGTCTGTACCATGCAGCAAAGGGGCTGATGACCCTGCAGGCTCTCTACGGAACCATCCCGCAGATTTTTGGGAAGGGCGACTGTGCTCGGGTGAGGCTGAACAAATGCATCTTGTTCTTTGGAACTGCCTTAAGGAGTCTTTGGTTAAATGCACCTCTGGGTTTTTTTAATCCAGCCATGACACACACACCTCCTTTTTGCTTCTCTCTGATTAACCTATGGTTTAATTGGTATTTTTTGTGGTGAGGGAGCAGCTTGATGTGAATGCAGAGCTTTGGCCATCACTGTGTTGCTGAGCTGCAGAGAGCAGTAGAGAAAGACTTTTGTTTTCTCAGTCTTGTCCTGGCCCATCCATCAGCCAGTCTGTACCTCCTGCCACGCCCTTCCTTCACAAGCATGTGCCTGCAAGGCCCAGAAGTCACATCCATCTGCACCCTAACCAGAGCAATGTGACTTCTTGCAGCACGTGGCCAACATGATGATCAGGATGAAGCGGGAGTTCCCTGGGAGCCAGAATTCCATATTTCCAGTCTTTGACACCCTCCTGCTGCTGGACCGCAACGTGGACCTGCTGACGCCGCTGGCCACGCAGCTGACGTACGAGGGGCTGATCGACGAGATCTACGGCATCCAGAACAGTGAGTCCTGCGGGGAACGGGCAGCTGTGCCGTGCCCTGGGGCAGCCTGCATGTGCTGGGTGGGTTTGTCCTTCACTGAATGTGATGTGGGAGCAGCTCAGCTGAAATCAGTGTGGGGTTTGTTCAGTCCCAAGCTGGAGCTCATCAGGATCCACTCTGGCTCTTTGCCTGGGAAGGGGAGCCAAGTACAGTCCATGGTTACTGCAAGGGCATCTTTTGGCTGTTGGCTGCAGGCACAGTGACAGAACAGGGAAGTGGGAATGTTAGTGTGTGCCTTCAGCATCCATCCTGCCTGGATCATGTGCCACACTGAGGGGACAGGGACAGTTTGTGAAATGCCATTTTCAGAACTCTGTCCTGCTCCTCAGGGGGTTAGAAAACTCCAGAGGGGCATTTATGGGCTGTAATCCCTCCTGCTGGGCTGGACTGGCTGCTGGGCTGCCTCCAAGCCTCTCTGAAAGCAAGGCAGCTGGCACTCAGGTTCTGATGTTCTGATGTTTGTGTAGGGAGTGCTGAGTGCAGGGAGATTTCCCTTCATTAACACACAGGCACTGAGTGGTTTGAGTGTTAATATTGCTTTGCTCCTCAGAGCTGTTTCCAGCTCAGGGGACACATTTCCACAGCGTACTGATCTTAACTTCTGCTGATGAAGTTCCAGTCCTTTCAAGGGTTATTTCTCTTCATTTGGTAGCTTATGTGAAACTCCCTCCTGAGAAGTTTGCCCCGAAGAAGCAGGGGGAGGGTGGCAAGGATCTCCCCACAGAACCCAAGAAGCTCCAGCTGAACTCTGCAGAAGAGCTTTTTGCTGAAATTCGAGACAAGAACTTCAACGCTGTGGGGTCAGTGCTGAGCAAGAAAGCCAAGATCATCTCAGCAGCCTTTGAGGTGAGGCCTGTGTCCAGCAGTGCATCAGATAATTCACAGTCTGAGTTCAGCAGGGCTGGGACTGGCAGCTCAAGCTGCTCCCACAATAATCCCACATCCAGAGAAAAAACAGGAAGCTGTTCCAGTCTGTTCCCCTGCCCTGGGGTGAGGTCAGCTCCATTGGACTGTTCTGAGTAGATCAGAACACCTTTTAGTAAGCCTGTAGCAATGTGGTTCCTCATTTCTCTCCACATCTCTTTTCTGGGGCTTTCCCTCTCCTTAGAGCTTGCCTAATCCAGCCTTGTGCTGTGTGAGCCCACACATCCCTTGACAGGAATTGTTCTCTTCAGTCTGCAGGAGTCTGGTGCTACTTCCCTCTGCAATAACCCAAAGGTGATTTTAGTGTGCTGATCAATTCCACTTGGCTGCTCTTGTTACCTGTTCATTGAAAGGTGCTTTTCCCTTCAGGATGCAGAGAAAAAGCTTTAAGCACTAAAACACCAGAATGTACTTTCAGAGTATATGGCTGGCATCAGAACCAACAGAAATGTGCAAAAGACAGTTGTCATGCAGGAACTTTGAACTGTAAATTCATGCTTGTCACAGACAAATCTGGAGAGCTGTGTGGGGCATGTTTGTGGTTTTGTTGAAAACATCCTGTTGATGATTCATAACTGAGATCCCGTATCTTATTTTTCTGACCTCATGGGGACTCTAAAGAGAACTTGTTCACTCTTTGATTGTATTTCCTTGGTGGGGCTTTTTTATCTTAACCTCTGCCACATCTAAAAGGAGGTAGTGGTATTTTAACTGAAATACTGAGTGCTCAGCCTCATCCCCCAGTGCAGCTCTGCTTCTGCACTATTAGTGCTGGAGGTGCTAAAGATGGATTGTTCATACTGCTTGTTAAAAAAAGAGAATTCTAAGAAATTGTCAGCAGTAATAGGTGATAATGAAACAGCAGCATATTGGCAGCAGAGGACTTCCTTAGTCACAGGCTCCATCATGACTCTCCTGCCTGCACTTGCCCATTTAAATCCCTCACATATGAGTCAAATTATCTCTATTTTTATTCCAAGTTGCAGCAAGAGGCAAGTACCCAAATGCAGTGCAGGCCTCTGGAGCTGAACTCTGCATGGTGCTTCAGCACATCCTGCCCCAAACCCTGGCAGGTGTTGCCACCAAGTAGAGTGAATGGCAGACCCCGGCAGCCCAATTCCTCAGCACCTTTCACTCCTGCTCCAAGGGGAGATGTTCCCCAGCTCTGACAGCATTGGCCTAGAGCTCCCTGTCAGCCAGCAAAGGAATTCCTCTCTGTGTGAAAAGGGGAGTTTGCCCTGGTAGGGAAATTGTGTTAGTGTCTCTGACTCCCTGCAGGGAATGCAGTTATAATTCCTCATGATAAAATGATCTGTTTGGTGTTGCTAACATGAACAAGGCCTAACCCAAGTGATGGATTTCCTCAGGAAAGGCACCATGCCAAGACTGTTGGAGAGATTAAGCAGTTTGTGTCCCAGCTGCCCCACATGCAGGCGGCGAGGAGCTCGCTGGCCAACCACACCTCCATCGCAGAGCTCATCAAAGACATCACCAGTGAGTAGAATCATTTAAATCCACAGGATGCCAGGTAACCTGGTGGACATCACTCAGCCTGGCAAAAACTGGCTTTGCTCCATCCAGTGCATTTCTGCTGAAACGTTAATTGTAAAACATAAGCTGTCCATTGCTCTTGTATTGATTTTCATTCTTTTCCCAAAGCATCTGAAGATTTCTTTGATAATTTAACAGTGGAGCAAGAGTTCATGTCTGGAATAGACACAGACAAGGTAAGCAGATAATGGCAATTAGCCACTCTTACATCTTCAAAAACATTTTTTTTCCATTTGTTTTTTTTTTTTTTTCTGGGTTTTTTGTTTCATTTTGCTTTTTAGAGAGAGGAAACATCTGATCTAGATGATGTCCAGTGAAATGGATCTGAGTTACCTCTCGCTGCCTGTGCACAGCTGGGGTGCCTGACCTGTCCAGGGGCACCCCATGCTCTGAGGGATCAGTGGAACATAGAAGATGGGTAATAGGAATTTTTAGGTGCAAAGTCTGGCTACTGAGCGAGGGACTGCTCTAGGGAGAGCCCAGGTGGAACCAGAGCTGGGTCACTGTTTTACAGATGGTCCTGGGCTGCCTGGAGAGCAGCTGCTCCTCTTTTTTGCTGTTTTGGAGAACCAGGCAAACCACATAATTCCTTCCATGTCTAATGGGCACTTTAACAATTCATTAAATAATCACTTATGTATTTTATTTAATAGGTTAACAATTATATTGAAGACTGCATAGCTCAGAAACATCCATTAATCAAGATCTTGCGGCTCGTTTGCTTGCAATCCGTGTGCAATAGTGGGCTGAAGCAGAAGGTTCTGGACCATTACAAAAGAGAGATTCTCCAGGTTAGGCTCTAACATTTGGAGGAATAAATTCCTGAAAAATCCACATCAGATCTTCAGCTCTACACTTCAATTTTAGACAGAGACATCTTAATAATGTGCACAGAGGGAGCACTGGGTTTCTGTTTGGGCAGATACCTGGGAGGTGCTTTTGTGTGTTACAGCATGTAGATACAGAGGTTTATATCACTTGTTACTAATATTATTTAAACACTCTAAATTGGATATACTCTACAGAGGTCTTAACCAAACAGCTTTTTTTAAACAAACATATTTTTTAAACAAATCTTTGTTGTTTTTTTTTTCCATTTTAAACACTGGTCAAGGGTTATTGCATGGTATTAAAGGTTGTTTATTCATATTACAGACTTACGGCTATGAACATATCTTGACCTTAAACAACCTGGAGAAGGCTGGACTCCTGAAACCCCAGACAGGTGGCAGGAATAACTACCCAACAATCAGGAAAACGCTGCGCCTGTGGATGGATGATGTTAATGAGCAGGTAATGGGCGCCTCAGCAGCACACATTACCTCTAAGTATAAAATTATATACAGCAGGAAAACCTCCTTTTTTATTTAATGTTTCTGATTCCTTTGAGGCTGTTTTGCAGCAGGAGGTAGCACTGACCCGCTGTCTCCTCTCTGTCTGTGTCCCCCAGAACCCCAATGACATCTCGTACGTGTACAGCGGCTACGCCCCGCTGAGCGTGCGCCTGGCGCAGCTGCTGGCGCGGCCGGGCTGGCGCAGCATCGAGGAGGTTCTGAAGATGCTGCCAGGGCCCCACTTCGAGGAGAGGCAGCAGCTCCCCACTGGCCTGCAGAAAAAGCGTAAGTTTGGGTTTGTTTTCCTGTGGTTTACAGGAAAATATGTCTGTCTGTCTGAGCAGGGAGTGAGGCAAACTGAAATCAGGGCAGGCAGAGTCAGGTCTGTCTCATCCCCGTGTCCCACAGCAGTGTTAGATTGACCTAACCCTCCTTTGACAAATGGTTTAACTTCTCATCAGAGTACTCAAATAAACCCTAAACTTACACTGTGATTTGAATAAGTAATGTTATGTGAAAGAGGATCAGCATCACTCTCAAGCAGAAACACATCCTGGGAGCAGAATGTGGATTTCTGTGTCCCAGCCTCCAATTCAGGTCACTTGAGTTTGACTCACAGTTGATGCAGGGGAGCTGTAAATTCAAACCAAGCCAACCTGGACCTTTTTTGTGACCCCACAGGTCAGCAGGGTGAGAACAGAGTGACCCTGGTGTTCTTCCTGGGCGGGGTCACGTACGCAGAGATCGCCGCGCTGAGGTTCCTGTCGCAGATGGAGGATGGAGGCACCGAGTACATCATTGCCACTACAAAACTCATCAATGGCACTACCTGGATCAAATCCTTGATGGAGAAACTGGAGCCTGCCCCTTTCTAGGGTGTGTGTGGTGAGAGACAGTAACTGTGAGAGGCCCTGTGTGACACAGGCACTCAGCTGGCACGGCTGCTCCGTCAGAGAAGCACGGCAGTGAAGCTCTCCTGGGACCAGCTCATGACCCTCGTCCCTTCTACACTTGTGTTCCAGCTGTCTGTGGAACTTCCAAGCAGACAAGCAGGGTTGGAAGGCACTAATGATAAACAGTGGGGAAGAGGGAGATCTCTGCTCATGGTCTGACCTGGCAGCCAAGGGCTGGGGCAGCAGGAATGGGCCCTGGTCCTTCTCTGTGGCAAATTGCTGCTTTTTTTCTTTCAGTTTAGCTTTGGTGGGAGATGTGATTTCTGCTTTTTACCCCCCTAAGGTGCTGAGGAGGCAGGATGTTCTCTATTCCTGACTTCATCCCAGTATTCCCAGACTGTTTGTCTCTCTCTGGTGCCTGATCCATTCCATGGGTGCACTGGATGTGTCAGAGATGTGTACACAGCTCTACCTGTGATCCTCGAGCCTTTTCCTTCACTTGTCCCCTGAAGGGATCGCTGTGAGGTGACTCCTTTGTCCTGGTACACCCACCTGCCTCTGGAAGGCTCCTCCAGACTATGAATGACATCAGTGTGTGCTGAGTTTCTGGTTGAAGACACACAAACACTCCCTGTGTGGGGGCCAAAAATAGCAAGAGCAGGGACGCAGTAAACAGTGGGTTTTGAACAGACACTTTTTTCACCCCTGTTCAGGTTATAAACTGTGGTACTTGCTGTCACAAGCTGTTGTAGAGCTCAAACTTGTAAAATGGAATTTTCCACGGGCTTGGTGGCTGGGCCCTTTGTGCAAGAGGCAGCTCCTGAATGCTGAGGGGAAGGCAGAGCAGGGTCTGTGGTGGTGCCTGTGCTGGGCTGGGCACTGACAGTGTCCTCACAGCCACTGGGGACTGTTCCACACTCCAGTTCACTCTTAAACACAACTAAAACAAAGCCCACTCCTCACCTTAAATCACTCTCTTAGCAAACATTTCTGACTTGGTTTTCATGTATAATATGTCCCAATAAAACCCTCAGTTTTTCCAAGTTATCACAGTTGTGACTGTGGGTTTTGGTCTGTTTTATTTTCTAAGTCTGCCAAGTCAGACCCTCCATGGAGCCCCTCTATCTGTTTAACTCCAGCTGACTTATTAAATGAAATAAAATAAAGATGTATTTAATCTTTTTTTGGAAATGTTTGCACTCTCTCTAGAATACAAAACTAAAAATAAAACCCTGCACTGTGATAGCTGTATCCTTGTCTGCCTGTCCCAGGATAACTGAATTACTCAAGTTGAAACTATTTTTCTGACACCCAGGTGTTTTTTTAATGAAGGCTCACATAAAATTTAATTCTGTTCTGCCACCTGTAATACTACATCAGAAGTGTAATTCCTGAACTTTTGAAGAAAAATACAATTTCAGTCAGAGGAGACTTTCAGGTGGGAAGGCAGCTTGTAGACAGACTTAACAAAAAACATGGTGCAACCTCAGTGATGCAAGAAGACCAAACATGGATTGTTTGCTCTGCAAGTTCCATTTAAAGTAACTAATTTCAGAGTATTTAAAAGGAAAACTGAATTAGGTTTGGATCAAAAATTAGATGTTACCTTGCAGAGAAAAACAAGAAGTTGACTCAGAGCAACAAGAGTGTCCTTGGGTTGGCCTTGAAGGGTCTCTGTTGTATCACAATTTCCAGATTTTTTTTTTTTTATTAAATTTTAACAGTTGATCTAATCCCAAGGAAATACTAAGCAGGCTGGTTTCTGAGCTACACCACAGGTGAATAAAGGAAAACACCGAGTGGCTCACCTTTCCCTGGCCAGCAATCAGTAACACTACAGGCAAAACTTTTCTTGGTTAAGAGTTCACACCAGACACTGGGTAAACTCTGAATTCATCACCAACATTGCAGCCTGGGTTTTTGCAGCCTACACCAGAACTGTGTAACCCCTCCACCAAGCCAAAGCCTCTTCCTGGAACTATTCAACACAAAAATAAAAGCCATCCTGACGCTGATCAATTCCCTGGAGGAGCAATTACTGTTTAACAGGCTTCCTGAGCAGCTGATGATGTTCTGCTTCTGTCCAAGGCCCTGCTGACCATGTGGGTAATAATTTGATAACAAGAGAACCTAATTAAATTAAGGGACCATTTTCTACATCATAATATCTTTGTAGGTAAGAGATTTGATTTGCAGTACATAATCTTCCTTCTCTGCTGTCTACATTACTACCAAAAGAAAAAGAAAATATTACCCAACCTCTACCCGAACCGCTCCACTTTCACTTTTCATACATTATCAGAAGCAGTTTTGCTAAGAATAAACACAGAGCCTGGCTCCCTCCTCCCCTCACTTTAAAGGAGCTGCATCATTTCAGCTCTAAAAGGTTGGGATGACTCCCTGGGAGGGAGGGTAAGGGTGACACTACACCAGTGACCTGGGGACCATGCAGGGATTAGGCTGCCCTCAGCCCTCACTGAGCTTTGGTAAAAGCTCCTGGCTCAGCCTGCACAGCCCCACCCTGGGGATGAGCCCCAGCTGTGTGTGAGGATCCTCCTCCCTGAGTGGCTCACAGAGCACAGAGTGCTCAGGGAACAGAGCAAGAGGCACTGCAGCCTTCGAGATAACAAAATAAAACGTGTAAGATAACACAAGGTTTTGTTAGAGGCAAACCCCCCATCTCAACAAATGCAGATTTTGGTGACTCCAAGCCCTGGCACTGCAACTCTGGAAATGCTGTTGGCAAAGCCCCCAGGGCAAGGGGAGTGTTTGGCTGCTCCGAGCACCACGAGCACCACGGCGCTGTCGGATCATAACCGGTGCTGACCACACCTAGAGCTCAGTCCTGGTGTGGGCTGCACACACACACACAGTCACAGAGTGCTGCTGCTCCTGGATCATCCTACAGCACAGACCCTGCAAAGGGACAGCTGCAGAACCAAACTAGGGAGGAACACCAACTTGCTGAAGCAGAGCCCGTCATCTGCCTGGGTAAGCAGTTTATTTCTTTATCAGCATCTTTCTAGATAACCAGAAATCTCGCACAGCCTATGGAGAGAAATCTGTAATGCTCTGAACAACAGAGAAACCGCAGCTGGTTTAAAAACGCTGTAACTCCTGTACTGTATACAGCTGCCTGAGCTTGGAATGGAATGGCTGAACTTGTTAAACAACACCAAAAAGTGAATTCCTTATGACAAGAGCTCTTTAAAAAACATTCCAGGCAGCAGGACAGGAATTCAGTGTAGTTTATCTGGCTTTAGGCTGTTCAGAACAGAAATAATCCCTCTGGGTTAGTTTTAACAGAAATAATCCTTCTGTGTTAGTTTTTATCCTAAGCCTGATTTTAAACTCCCTTTTCGTGCTTGACCAAGAGCGTCAATACTGTTGACCAGGCACGGTTGCAATCAAAATTTAAAAGAACACATAAATGGAAGAGATAATAGAATGTTTTAGGTGGGTTTTCACAGCTTCAAATCCAAGAAGCCAGTGACTTTAAGGGAAAAGTTCAGATTTAATTTAAAGTAACAAATGAGCAATCACTTCCAAAGCAATGCGTACATATGACTATACAACACTGCTAGGAGATGAATTCTGAGGCATCTTACCCCATGTCTCCCATTAACATTATTTTTAACACAAGATATAAATATTTGCCTGTGCAAACTTGTATTTAAACCTCAGTTCTCGTCATTCCTAAACAAAAGGCTCGGTTTGTGCCAGTACCTCCATTAGATGCAATTATAGAATTAAATATTAATGGTGGCTTCCTTGGAGGAATTGACCACTTTGATCAGAACAGGCTGTTGGTAATGCACCATCAGCAGCCGCTCTGCTCCTGCCCTTCCTGGAGGCACAGCCCCAGGGGAGAGGTCCCAGGAGCCAGCTGGACTCTGCAACACCCCCAGCCTCACCCCCATGGCCGTGCCCACTGCCTGGCTCTGCATTTCCACCTGCTTCCTTACCAGTCCTGATCTGCACACTCTGATCAGATCCCAAACTCTTTAACACCTCAGCAGGGTTTTGAACAGGCCCACACCAGTCACTAACAACCTTCCAGGTGCTCACAGGATTTCTCCCCGAGGCAGGGTGTGAAACTCACCTTGTGTGTCTGCTTCAGGCGCGGCAGGAGCAGGGAGCAGCCAGCCCCAGGGATCTGGGAGAGCCATGCCGGACTCCTTCGCCATCCACTTCCTCAAGGTGCTGCGGGAGCTGCTGGCCTTCGTGCTGTTCAGCTACACGGTGCTGCTGGGGGCGCTGCTGCTGGCCGGCTGGACCACCTATTTCCTGGTGCTCAAGTGAGGGCTCTGCCCCTGCTCCTGCTCCCACAGCTTTCCCAGAGGCACCCACGGCACAGCTCCGCACGCGGGATGGAGGCGCCTTCCCCCTGCGCCGAACCTGCAGGAGCTCTGTGCTCCCGCTGCCTCACCGCACTCTCATTTTCCTGTGTAAAAACAATAAAGGTTAAAAGAGAAAAAGTATCCCCGTGCATGCACTTTACAGATCCTCGTGGCTCTCGCAGATTCTTTGTGTCTCCTGGACTCTGAACTATTCAAAAGCCTCCCAGCAGTTTTCTCCTGAGATTCCCACCCTGCCGAGCGCAGCACAGGGGATGGCAGGGATGCAACACCACTCCAACATCTCAACAAACAAGTCCTGCCTTGTCCTGCTCTACCTCATTAAGGGTGTGAAGGCAGACACACAGAAATTACTTGTAATTTGTTTTAGAAGTTCTGGAAAAAGACATTTCAGATCAGCACAACGTTCCCCTCTCCCTACAGTTTTCTGAGATACAGAGTTGTTACCTGGTGCTCTCAGGTGTGCCAGGCTTTAGAACAAATGTTTAAAGCACAGAGATAGATTGAATATGTGTGCTACAGCACTGCCTAAGTAAAGTAAACTGCACTGACTGAGTCTCTGAAAACAGGAGAGAGAACAAGAATTCCTGCTATAACTAAAAATAATAGATTTAATTGATTAAGGCTGTTTTGTGTGGAATTGCACAGGAAACCTTTGGCGGAGAAGGTGGAGATTATCAC